TGTTTTTCAGCTGCGTATTTGTTGAGCTGAAGAGCTCCTTCCCAAGTCCGTGTAGCTTTTCCAGCGGCCAGAATACTCTAGGCGCTCCTTTGGCTTTTCCACATCACAGCTGGGCAAGCGGAGGAGGAGCAGGAGCCACAGGTTAGCCATCCGCAAGAAAGGAATGAGTGGCTGTGAAATGGACGTTTTCCTTCAATTTTGCAATTTAAATAAGCAGGAGAGAGAGTTGCTAATCTTTAATCTGAAAATGAAGGAAAAAATGGGCTCAGAAGGTGCCAAACGTGAAGTGTAAATTATTAGTGCAAAAGTTAGTTGACCATGTTTTATCCACCAACCCGTTGCTGGGGATTCTGAAGTCTATATTTCCAGCTCTTTGAGCTCCGGGTCTCTTATTTTCTCTACTAGGAATTTCCCCTAAATATCTGATGCAATGAAATGCACTCTCATCTGGAGTAAATATTGTCCACTCAGCTAGATAAGGTGGAAGTACTCATAGACCAGATGTCATGGTCAAATGAAGAGCATAGACTCTGGACCCAGATGACCCAGGACTGAATGCTCGATTGACCGCTTACTAGCTGTTTGAGTTTGGGCAAAATACTAAGCCCAGTTTTCTTTCATCAGCAAATGAGAAAAGATGAGTACCGTGTCCTAGTAGTAATGTGGGGACTTGGCACTTGATTCAGGGCTACCATGCAGTAATTGCTCACTAATTCCTAGCCACACATACCAGTCTGTCTCCTTTCAAGTCCTGTGGAAACACCTTCTCCATTTTACATGTATCCTGTCTTACCCTTTTGTCTTATTACGTCTTGACGATTTGAACCTTCATGACTTCATCCCTGACCTCTTATGATAGTCTCATACTTGATTCATCAGTCTCTTGTCATACAACCCTTAGGCACACCCATTCTCCATAGTGTAGTCACAGTGAGCTTTGGATCAAATAAATCTTGCCCTACTCAAAACCGTTAAGTGGTTGAGCACCTACAAATTGAAACAAAACATTCTAGGTGCTTCATCACTCAACGTCTACTCACCTCACCGACTTCATCTCCTGACCCTTCCTGTATAAATCTTGAATACTTTGCTAACAGATAACGTTAGCGTGAGGCTTTAACGTAGACACCCTTACTTTTCATGTACAAGAGGGGCCAACACATTTGTCATTGGCAAAAACTTGCGTAATCAAACATTAAGTCCCGTGGAAAGTAAAGCCAAATCTTACTGACTCTGTTCATGGAAAATGAGCTCAATCATCAGGCAGGTAATGCCGATAATAATATCCACTCACAATTATAAACCTAAGATAGCAGTAAACAGTCATTGTGTTATGAATTTTTAGAAAAATTCTGGACCTATCAGCAACCTGGTAGCAAGTGAAAGAACCCAAGTCATTATGTCAAGTGCTGGGAGGCTGTGCATATGAATTAAATTTCATCCGTTCTAACCTGCACATTTTATCCCATTAAAATCAGTGAAACCAGGATGGGTTTTACAGTCTCTGCTTGCCAGGACACATATGGTTCCAAAGAAAGTCCAGGAAACAGTAGTGGAACCCTCTTAAGAAATGATATGTTGGCAACACTCTTGCCACCACAGAGGATGCCAGGGTGCAGGTAAAGATAGAGGTCAATTATCCTGAAGGGAAAAGTGATATAAAGGAGAGGCAAGTTCTAAATACGACAGAGTTTTAGGACTACCTCACTAATTTTTCACGTATGTTTTACTTTTTATGTGTATGACAAAAAAATATACAGAAATCTAAAAGAACAATGTCTTAATCGGAAAAGCTTCTAAATGATAAGGGTCATCGTTGAATCAGTGCCATGCCTTTTCCAGTTTATGCCTGGCAGACCTTAGGATGATATTATATGACCTGCAAGTGAAGGTGTCTTCGGTTGCGTGAAATACTCTAGTACACATTGGCGAGTAAAGTAGACTGTTTCAGAATCAGTCTTAGAAAGAATGGGAAAGATTCTTTTCTTTAAACTTTTTATATAAATAAATTCCAGTTACTTAGGGGAAACTGGGTGGCCCAGTCAGTGAAACGTCCAACTCTTGAATTCAACTGGAGTATGATCCCAGCATGGTGGGACGGAGCCCACGTGGGGCTCTGTAATGAGTATGGAGCCTGCCTAAGATATTTTCTCTCTCTCTCAAATAAAATAAACAAATTCCAGTTAACATATAGTGTATTATTAGTTTCAGGTGTAGAATATAGTGATTCGACACTTCCATACATCACCCGGGGCTCATTGCAACAGGTGCACGTTTTAATCCCCATCACCTATCACTATTATGAAGAATGGGAAAGATTCTTTTCAAAGAGAAACACATTTAAAATGGAAAAGCGTGATGGCAGAATTCATTCATTAATGCAACAGTTACTGATTTGGTATCTGTTTTCTGCCATCCATTGTTCCGGCAGCAACAATTATGGCAATAAATAAAAATCTTGGCTGTCAGGAAGCTTCATTTGATGTGATAGACATCATATAAAATAACACAAGTATAGTGTTTGTTCCTTTCAAGAACTAGGAATTTGGTAGGAGAGGTGTCGTTTTCTTTAGGGTCATCAGGAAAGACCTGCAGGAGATGATGGTTGAGGGAAGGACATTGAAGGCAGAAAAATACAGCAAGTACGAAGAGTCAGAAGCAGGGACCCATGTAATGTACTTGAGGAGTACAGCAAGGAAGCTAGAGGGCTTCAAGAAGGATAAGAGAAATACAGAGTAGTTGCAAATGAAGTCTGAGAAGTAAGGAGATTAGGGATCGGCAGATTTCCTAGATCAGTGCTGGTCAATAGAAAAATAAGGTGAGGGGCACCTAGGTGGCTCAGTCAGTTAAGCGTCCAACTTTGGCTCAGGTCATGGTCTCATGATTTGTGGGTTCGAGCCCCCATATCGGCTCTCTGCTGCCAGCACAGAACCTGCTTCAGATCCTCTCTCTCTCTCTGTGCCCCTCCCCTGCTTGCTCACTCTCTCTCTCTCTCAAAAATAAATAAATATTTTTTTTTAAAAAAGGAGTTGAGCTGCTTATGTAATTTAAACTTGTATAGCTGCTACATGTTTTTAAAAGGAAGTAGGGACAGGTGAAATGAATATATCTTATTTAATCCAATATATTAAAAATATTACTTCAACCTGTACATGATATAGAAAGTACTAAGGAACTGTTTTCCCTTCTTTAAAAAAATGTTTCAAATACTTTTATTTTTTACAGCAGTTGTAGGTGCTCAGCAAAGTTGAATAGAAGGTACAGAGATCACTTTGATATCTGGTGTATATTTTACACTTAAAGCACATCTCAGTTCCCCTTACATCATTTCAGGTGCTCAGTAGCCACAGGGAAGGTATCTACCATTTTGGACAGTACAGATCTAGACCCTCATAGAATACTGTACGGACTTTGGCTTTGCTGTGAACAAATTGGGAAGCAAGAGAAGAGTTTTGACTGCGACAGTGACATGACATGACTTGGATGTCCGTAAGATCCCATATTATGACTTGGGTTTTCATGAGATCTGCTTTTTTGAGATTAGACAGAGAAGAGAGTGTCCCCTCACATGCCCCAGAACAGAATTTGAACAAGCTCCCAACCTAGAGCAAAACTGAGTAGAGACAAGCATACATTCAAAAGTGGACATGGTTTGAGAAGTAGTGTAAGAGTAGTTCTCTCAACACCCTGTCTTTGCACAGGCTGTAAATAAGATAGGCTGTGTCTTATTCCGACCCATGGGAATCTCTTGTTTCCTCTCATGGACTGAGATCATCAGGGCAAACTATGCAACATATCTTTCTTTAATCCTAATGCCCAGTAGTCTTGCTGGAAGTTAGTAAGCCCTCAATAAATATTTGTTAAATTGAAACAAAAACAATAGCTAAACATCCCCCAAATGGAAACATTCCAACTATCCACCAACAGAGATATGTATTTAGATAGTTCAATACTCTGCAGCCAGGAGAATAAACAAATTAAGCTCCATGCCACGTGGTTGATTATTGTAAACATTATGTTGAGTGAAAGAGACAAGACACAAAAGAGGATATAGCATATCATTCCATATACTCAGTGTTCAATATAGACAACATAATCGAAGTTGACAGGATACTGGTTATACATGGAAAAAATGCCTGCAAGGGACAAGAGGGGCCCCTGGGCTTCTGATGACATTCTATTTTTCTGGTTATTTGTATACTTTTAAAAAATATTTTGAGCTATTCAGTCATATCATATGTGTACTTCTATATATATATGTATATATAGAAGTGTATATATACATATACATATATATATTTATATTTTACTTCAATTAAAAGCTTACATACAGGAGATATATCTCTCAAAAGTTATTTGAGGTGCAGACCATTTTGTTCAATGGTGTTACTATTCAACATGTAAGGATAAACTTATGGCCAATAAATGAATAACATATTTTAACTCAGTTTTCTTCTTTCCTCCAAAAAAGATGGTGAATCATAATTTGGAAAACATTTTAACATGTAATAACTTAGTGTTGTTTTTTTTATTCCCTTGTTTTTATTTTTAACCCTATAATTTACCAGAAAGGTGTATTTTATTTAAGCACGTTAAAACATGCAACTTTATATTATGTAGTTGTTCTACATAATATACAGTACAGAGAACAGCCCCTCAGAACTAAGAATTATTTAACCCTAAATGTCAGTAGTGCTGACGTTGAGAAACCCTAATTTCATGACATAATATTGTTGGAATTTTAAAATTAGAATTTTTTCTTCACCAGTTTTAATCTCTTATATTTTAGAGATTTTTAAGAGATTAAAATTGCTTTGTTCAAAGTAAATGAGTTTCGTTTAAAAATGTGTATTGCTAACATCTTTTAATTTGTTTCTTTCCTTGAAAGTGTTACCATGGTTTTTGTTTGTTTGTTTGTTTCTGAGTTTCCTTTAAAAAAAAAAAGAAAGAAAAGTTTGAGAAATACGTTGTTTATACCAGTTTTATTCTTATTTCTCCAGGCTAGAGGAACAAAAAAATATCTTGTCAGAATTTCAAAGGGATGTAAATGAATTTGTTTTATGGTTGGAAGAAGCAGACAGCGTTGCTAATATTCCACTTGAACCTGGGAATGAGCAGCAGCTAAAACAAAAACTTGAACAAGTCAAGGTAATTTTGTTTTCTAAAAACCTCCAAGGACTACTTGTATAAAGAGTATATGAGTCTATTTTTTAATATATTTAATCATTGATTTCCTGCCCATTACGTTATTGATAGGTCATCCGTAAATTTTCTCAAAACTTCACTTTGTTTTAACCCAGTGTTTCCCAATGAGTATATTTTTTTTGTAAAAAAAAAAAAAAAAAAAAAAAATCTGTGTGTGAGTGTGTGTGTGTGTGTGTGTGTGTGTGTGTAAAATACGGCAGTATTTTGCAAACTAACTTGAAATTAACTTTGCACATATTGGAGAATTCTGCAACTCCAAATTATTTCAAAAACTGGAGAGACTCTAGAAATGAATCCTATTTCTTAGGGAAGATCATAATTGCCAAATCAATCTCACTATTTCAGCCTCTAATTAGAGGTGTTCGATTCGCCTGAAACAATGTTTGTTTTGTCTGGGGCTGGTTGGGAGCGCGTGGTGTTGGTGCACATTCTATACTGGTTGAATAGGCATCCAGCTTATTCAAGTGGCTTTTCATGCCTTCCTACTGTGATGTCTGCTCAGTACTGATTACCCCAGCTGGCTGACTGACATGCGCTGATTGTGCAGTTCGATTAACTTCCATGGTTTTAGTCTCGGGAAAGAAACTTATTTGGATCTGTTTTGCTGTAATTCTTGAAGGGAAGGTGAAAGGGAAAGGGAAATTAACATTTAATCATCCTCTATTATGTGCTAAGTATTAGATGTACTTACATCTGCTATTTTATTTAATCTTCATATAAAACTTTCAAAACGGTTGCTGTTATTCTCATTTTACAAGGTCAGACAATCAAAGGGAAATGAAATTGCTCTTTTATCAATGATTCAGTTGGTTTGTACATGCAAATTAGACTCCAATGTCAACCACTTATTTCTGTGAAACAAGAAATTTGTACCTGAGGAGAGGATAAAGTATAAAAATAAAATTAATGTGAAATTCGGTGAACAGATACTGAGTCCCTACTATCTATCAGATAGCAGAAAAAAAAAAAAAGAAAAAGAAAACAAGTTTTGGATCTGTAGTTCATCTGAAGGTGAGGATGTCCTAGGAAAATGAACTCAGTCTTGTTCTTGAAAATGAATCTTTCCTGCATGTATCGAGTGTTATATATAGCAATATAATTGATAACTCATTTAAGAGACATGTTTAGTGGGATTTACTTATTAATAAACAGGCATTGATTTTCTTTTCTCCTTAGACAATCTAGATCAGCAGTCCAATAGAACTTTCTGTAATGATGGTAATGCTCTATATTATCCACTGCAGTAACCACAAGCTGCATGTGCCTTTTGAGTACTTGAAAGGTAGTATGACTGAGGAACTAAGTTTTTAATATTATTGAAACTTAATTAATTTAAATTCAAATAGCCTCATGTAGGTAATGATACTATTTTGGACACTGCAGCTCTAGGTGGCACGAATAAATAAAGAAAACCATGGCAGTTTTGTAAGTCTTGGGAAAGGGCATTTATAATGTGATGCTAAATGAATAAAAGAAATTCAGGAATGTGGAGGAGTTACAAATAAGGGTTCTTGAATGAAATTGCCCAAGTTTGAACCACAGCTCCGTTGCTCGCTGCTTTTGTGTCCTTGGAGCTGCTATTTAACCTCTTTGTTGGGATTTAAGGTCTCTGTCTCAGTCTTCTTCCGTATAAGATGAAGATAATAGGGTCTACCTCATAGAATTGTATTATCTCAGTTAACTTTTATAATATGTGAAGAGGTCAACACAGTGTCTTGTACCGAGTATGTTCTCAGTATTAGTTATCTCTCGATATGGTAATGCATTTTCTTAATCAGTAGTAAATTATAGCATGGAGGCTTAGTACCTGAGAGGATGATGAATTTACCCAGATTGTTCTATTTCTGATTGCGATGTGTTATTTTGGAGCTCATCCTGCCATGTAACACCTTGTTTTTCTTGAAAAGAATCTTTGAGGGGTAAGATATGCTGGTCCTTTCTAGGATAGGCCTCTCTACTTGGGCGTGAGTGCTTTGGTCCATCAGTTCTGTACTCTTTAGAAAGTGGTTTGTATTTGAGGTACCGGTTGGCCTTCAGTCAAGTTGCTTCATTTTGAGAGACTAATCAGTAGAGACAAAGACAAGATAGTTGGAATTGTGCTGTAATTCATTTTAAATGTTGTCGCATTTGTCTGTTTCAGTTACTGGCGGAAGAGTTGCCCCTTCGCCAGGGGATTCTAAAACAATTAAATGAAGCCGGAGGAACAGTGCTTGTAAGTGCTCCCATAAGCCCAGAAGAGCAAGATAAACTTGAAAATAAGCTCAAGCAGACAAATCTTCAGTGGATAAAGGTTAGACATTAACCATCTCTTCTGTCACATGTGTTAAATGTTGCAAGTGTTTATATTTGTTTTGGTTCATGGGTGTTTTATTGCTGGGGGGGTGGGGGGGGCGGTGAGTGGTGGGGGCCCGGTAGGTGGATTGTTGTTTTTCCAACCTGACCGTCTGGTTTGGCCATATGATTCATTATAGTTGGAAAGAATGGTGATAGTGGATGACAATATATTCATGACCAAACGCCAAAATATTACTTTGCGTTGTTACTTTGCGTGAGCCACTCTAAGGAACGAGACTGGAAAAGGGATGAAGTAGTTCAGCGTTCGGGTGCATATTGATGGTCTTTAAGCAAGTTGGAGGTGGCCCACTTCAACAAAGATTATGAGTCACAATTACTCATCCTTACTTCTGGTGCAGACTTAGTAGTGCACACTAACCTCCCAAAGGTGTTCCATGTATTTGTTTCTTTGTTCATTCAGTTCCTTAGGTTTGCTTAGTCACCTAACTCGCAAGTCTTTGGCTCTCTACCTTGGATACTTTATAACTTTAATATTTTTAAATACTTAATGTATTAATGCATACATATTCTTTAAAATCAGTGGCGCGCATGAATTTATCATGCAAAGCAACATCGATCTTTCAAAGGCAATTCTTTTCCCATCGTACTGCTGTGAACATCTGTATGGATCTGCTTCTGCAGTCTCTTTTCTTTTCCTTGCGACTGTGTCTGTCCCTCCACCAATACATCCTTGCTCAATAACAGTCTTCCGCTTTACTGGGACGTAATCCGCATGCCATACAATACATCCGTTTTAAAAAGTATATTTCAATGATTTTGGTGTATTTATGTTTTGTAATTGTGGGAAAATACATATAACATAAATTTGTCATTTTCATGATTTTTACGTGTGCGATTCAGTGTCATTTATTACATTCACACTGTGCAACCATTACAATCATCTATTTCCAAAGCTTTTTCATTGCCCCAAACAAAAATTCTGTAAACATTAAGCAGTAACCCCACATCCAGCTACCCACCCACACAAAATGATCTCTAATCTACTTTCTGTCTCTATGAATTTGCCTGTTCTAGATAGATTTTAAAAGTAAACTGATACTTTATCTGTCCCTTTGTGTGTAAATTATTCCACTTAGCATGTTTTCAAGGTTCATTCATGTCGTAGCAGGTATCATAATTTTATTCCTTTTTATTTTTTTTAATTTCTTTTAGCACTTCTTTATTTTTGAGAGACAGAGAGAGACAGAGCATGAGCAGGGGAGGGGCAGAAAGAGGGGGACAAAGAAGCCAAAGCAGGCTCCAGGCTCTGAGCTGCCAGCGCAGAGTCCGATGCGGGGCTCACACCCATGAACCATGAGATCATGACCTCAGGTGAAGTCGAAAGCTTAACCAACTGAGTCACCCAGGCACCCCTCCTTTTTATTTTTTTAATGTTTATTTGTTTATTTTGAGAGAGAGAATTCGAGCAGGGGAGGGGCAGAAAGGGAGGGAGGGAGAGGAAGAGAGAGAGAGAGACAGAGAGAGAGAGAGAGAGAGAGAGGGAGAATGAATGAATCCCAAGTAGGCTCTGCACTGCTAGCAAAGAGCCCAATGCAGAGCTTGAACTCCCCAACCGTGAAATCATGACCTGGGCGGAAATCAAGTGTTGGACGTTTAACCGACTGGTGCCCCTATTCCTTTTTATAACTGAATGCACTTCATGGTCTGCATACATGCAGTTGTTTTGTTTAAGATTTGAGGGTCTGTCTGACCATCTAACACCTCCAATTTTGTTCTTTTTAGTCCACATTATCTTTGCTATTTTGGGCTCATTGATATACCCAAGTACATTTAGAATCAGTTTATCAGTTTTTACTGATGCTTGACAGGATAGTGATGGAATTATGTTGAATTTGTAGATCAGTTAACATTTTTACAATATGGAGCCATCTGATCTGTGAAAATGATATATCCCTTCATTTATTTAGGTCTTCTTGAATGCTTTTTTCCAATCATATCTTTCCATGTTCAGTGCAGAAGACCTGCACATGTTTTATTAGACTTCGTCCCCAATATTTGACATTTTGATCCTATTATACATGGAATTTCATTTTGAATTTTATTTTCTCTTTGGTGTTGGTTTATAAAAATATAATAGATTGTTGTATATTATGCACATATTCACTGCCTTTGCTAAATTCACTTATTAATATTAATAGTTTTCAGCAACTTTTGCATTTTTTATGTGCGCAGTTGTGCCATCAAATAGAGGTAGTTTCCCTATTTTCAATCCTTAGGATTTTATTTTTTTATTTTTTTAATTTTTTGCACAGACTAGGCCCTCCAATACAATGTTTACTGGAAGTGGCAATTACGGGAAACGTTGGCTCATTCCCTGTGTCAGGTGGAAAACTCTCAATAACTTAGCATTAAATAATGTACTTGTTGTAGGACATTTTATAGGTTCTTTTAATCAAATTAAAGAGTATCTCCTTATTCCCAATTCATGTTTTTATTATGAACAGGTATTGAATATGTTCAGATGATTTTTCTGTATCTATTGAGCATATGATTTTTTCTTTTTGTGAGTGCGGCAAACTACAGCCATTGGTTCTGGAATGTGAAACTACTCTGGAATCCCTGAAAGAAATCATATTGGTCATGAGGTCTTGTACTACTTACGGATGGTTGGAGTCATTTTCTAATATGTCGTTTGGGATTTTTATATTGTTCATGACAGAAAATGGTCTGTATTTTTTTTTTTTATAATATCCTTCTCAAGTGTGGATAGCAATGTTAGGCTTGTCATAAAAATTACTGGGGAAGTGGTCTCTCTTTTTTTTCTGGAAGAAATTGTTGAAGATTGGTATTATTTCCAAGGTGTTTCAGAGAATTCAATTGTAAAGCCATCTGATGATGAAGCTTTTGTGTGTGTGTATGGGAAAGTGTCTGATGATTGGTTCAATTTCTTTAATAGATACAGGGATGGATAGATTTTTTCTTTGTGGGTGTGTGTGTGTGTGTGTGTGTAATCTTTTATAAGTTGTGTATTTCAAGGATTTTGTCTATTTCCATGTCCTTTTCTCTTTTTGAGGTTGTGGACTTTATTCATGCAGCCAGTGGTCTTTTATATATTTATATAAACCTATTTATTATATATTTGTATGATATTTATTATATAAATATATTTATATTCATATTTATGAAGAAGAATGAGAAAATCGACTGTTTTTACTCTGTGTGCTAAGGAAGAGAACTGACTGTCTTGCTAAAAGATATTCAAGTTCTGTACTGCAGTGGGCTTTATGGTGAGGTACGCACAACACCTGCCGAGATTCAGCCCAGGTACCAAGTTTAATTTCTTTAGATAAGAATCACACACTTCTTATTTATCTTGATTCATATTTATTTTTGCTTGTAAGTAAATGTTAAGGACAGGCCATTCATTGTGTGGTAGTTTCGAGCTAGGGGCGAATTTCCACGTTCAGACTTTAGTACCGCAAGTTTAACCCACCTCTTAGCCCCACCCATCATGGTATGTTTCATCCGGTTGCCCAATTCTGCCAAGGTCAGATCCCCCCGTACCTAGGGCTACTTCTCCTTTATATGTCTTCATGTATGCCCTACTCATATATGCTTTAGACCTTCTGAAAATGTTTTAAAACCTCACATCCATTTTTGACAACAGTTCTAGTGCTTTACTGAGCATATTTAATACCTGTTAACTTTGTTCTATCCAAAATGTAAAGCAAACTGTAATCCTTTGAACCAGGGGCCAAGAAGATACTGGTGGACTATAATTTTCACATAATATAAAATGCCTTATTTCAAAGATGACACAAATTGCTTTTTAAGTATTAGGTATGGAAAAGTTATACTGAGAAAAGTTTATGTAGATGATGGGAAAAGAAAAAAAAAAAAAAACAAAACAAAACTAGAGACGTCACTAGGCAGGGAGGGGGGTGTCCAACATGGTAGCATAGGAAGATCCTGAACTCACCTCCTCCCACGGACAGAGTGAAGATACAGCTGCATATGAAATAGTTCCCCCTGAAAAACAGCTGAAAACTAGCTGAGCAGTTCCTCCATGACCAAGGATAAAAGTGCCACATCAAAACAGATAGGACAGGCAGAGACACTGTCTCTCCAGAAACCTCACCGCTGGCATGGCAACCCATAATCGGCATGGATTTCACGAAACAGCAACTTCTACCTGAGCAGCAAGAAGTTCGTGTTCCACAGCAGCCACCCCCACTCATGGGACCTGCGCTGCAGAGATGAGCCCCCAAAACATCTAGCTTTGCAAACCATTGGGTCTTACCTCCAGAAGATACCCAGAGTGCTGTAGGGAACTGAGATACTGCTCTTAAAGGGCTTACACACAGACTCCCTTGCCCCCAGGCTCAGGACAATGGTAGCAGTTTGGAAAATGCCTAGACTATTGATGAAGGAGACCCATTTGCTAATCATCAAGAGTGAGGTAGGGGGGCAGGCTTGCATAGTTCTTGAAATCTCTGGCTTCCCTGCCAAAGCCATGGGCAACACGTGTTTCCTGCACTCTCCCACTGCCTTGCCAAAGCCAACAGATGTGCCCACCCAATTCCTGAGCTCTCCAGCTGCCTTGAAGTCAGGAGGTGCACACAGGCCACATGGGGCCCTCTCCTTGACTGCCTAACTTTGGTGGCCAGAAAGGCTTGCAGTCCTGAGTCCCATGGGACTGTAACAATGGGGGAAATAGTTTTGGACAGGCTTTCACACCCAGGGCACAGTATAGACAGCAGACTGAAATATACCGGAGTTTTTCTGTCAAAAAAAGCCCATTTTCCTGGAGGTTCAGCCTGAGGGGCAGGTTTCAAGTTTGCCACAGACGTAGAAACTATGGATGTGCTCTCAGGGAAGGTAGGTCGGGGGACACTATCTGTGTCCTTTCTCTTGACCGCACTCTACTTCACTGGTACCTCTCAGAAATGACCTCGTATACTCAAGTGTTGCTACTTTTTGTAACTGTCACCCGGG